GGAAATCTTTCTTGTGGTTTGAAATGTTTCTCCTAAGATTCAGAATCCCCCAGCTCTGCATAGAATCATTAGAGGAGATATAGAAGTGTGATTTATTCTAAAGATGAGAATGTCAAGGCAAAAAATTCTGTTCCAACAATGATGAGGCCAGCAGCACAGAGAGTTTAGAAAATAGGAACAACTGAAGAGAGACTAGAATAAGGAAGAGCAGGAATGGAATCCTCAGGAAGCTGAGAGCAGTTTGTTTATGAATACATATGAGAAACACTATGGGAACTTCCACAAGTAGCTGGGAAATTTTTGAATGGCAATGCCTGAGAAATTGATTTTAATTTTTCTTATTGGGGCCCTGTGTAGTCTGGGAAAGAGATGGTAACAAAGATTCACACCACAGAAAGAAAACCTCAAGATTAAAGTTTGATGCTCCCTTTTAAAATGACAAATGACATGTTTTTGGAATAGTCTACTAAAAATAATATGAGCTTTTTACAACTATTTTATAGGTGAGAAAACAAGCAGAAAAAGAAGTGCTGGAGATGACATGGCTGAATTGCCAATAATTTTGAAATGTTACCACCTAGCTCTGGAAAAAATTATGTCTACTGACAGGGTCAAATGCAGGCAGCTATAGTGCCTTGCTAGAGTGAAAGAACAAGTCTTTTCAGCAATATATTGTTTCATCCTGACTTTATTGTATCGTAACTTCAGATAGAAAATCATTCACTAAATTGAATTATTTAAACACTAAAGTTTTAAAAATTACTGAAATGAAAGGTGATTTCTGTTTCAATTCAACAAATGTGCAAAATGAAACAGGCCACTATTCCAATATTCATTCAACAGACATCCCAGAATTAGTTTATGGGAAAACCTTTTTGTTTCCTGCCTACAGGGTCTATCATTAAGATGCTCAACTTTGGGCACAAAGAAACTACAGCATAATGTAACTGAGAAGAGCTACAGGAGGTGGAGGAAAGAACTGGTATAGAAATAGAGATTGTGGAGATCAAAGAAGGCAATATAGAGAGCACTTATTTGAGAAAGGACATTGGATAATACTCAATGGATGAAAATATAAAAAGCAGGAGTGAGAAAATTTTTCCAGCAGGAAAGGTTAATAGAATGAAGAAAAGAATAATAAAAAGAACAAGCTGTCATTTATCAAACTACTATGGTGCATGTTCGCACATATTAGTAAGCAAATTCCTCATGACAATCTTATGAAGTTGTTACTCTCCCTACTTCACAAATGAGGGAACTGAAGATTAGGGAAGTAAAATTACTTGGTCAAATACATACAGCTAGTAAGCAAATTGACCTCAGCTCTGTTTGATTTCAAAGACTCAGCTATTACCTCAACAGAGTTCTAAGAAAACAGAGAAAATACCAATAGTCTTTAAGAATCTTTAAGGACCCCAAGTAGCTCTACTTAGGTGCTAGTGTGGTGCATCAGGGGGTCACAGCGACATATTTGAGCTGCTGAATTCCCATGGCTAATAGTGAAAGAGCTGACTGTTGGGCAAAGATTCCATTCATTAAATATTTTTCTGTTATTGAAATCCCCGAAAGCTAGAAAAATGTAAATGGTCAATACATAATACATTTCCTTTCATAATCATGTATTTAGAATCACTAAATTTTAAAAAATGTTTCGAATCATAACATTATGAACCTTAAGCCAATACATAGGTATGTGGGAAAGCTTAATACTGTTTTTTTTTTAATTAAACATGTGTAAAATCTGGCTTCTGTTTCTCAATGGCCTCCCACAGTATCCATCCAAAAAATGTTGGAAGCAATTTTATTTGCTTTATTCTGGTGTAATAAGACATATTTGCCTGAAATGTGCTTGGGGGGGTCAGGGAGAAAAGCATTCAACATCCTTAAGGAAAACTCTAGTCCAGCTTGGGAGAAGCAAATTCAGCTTTGTTGCTAGGGTTCCAGCTCGAGAGCTACGGAAATACTAAGCTGAAGCAGACACAGGCAGCACCTCTTCCATTTTTCATTTCTTGAATTTTGTCTCTGCCATTTCCCCTGAGCTGAGATGAAAAGCCAGATTGCCATCTGGAATTCCTATGTTAAGGTTAATAATTCTCCTTCCTATTTTGGGGTGTTGGTGCCACTTGAGGGAAAGCTTCCTGACTAACCTGGACCAATCTTCAGTGGAATCAGGGGTGTTTCCTTATCTGACTGCCAAGGAAAAGCCAGACAATGATCTTTCTGGTTTGATTAAAGAGCAACATTTCCCAGAGGCCAGAGGTCTCTCCAGCAATATGGTCCAGTGACTTCTCTTGGGCTCAGGAACAGAAAAGCCAAGGGTTGCATCCGTCTGACCAGTCTTTGCTGCAGGCTGCACTATCCTTGCCAAGGATGGACAGCATTGGCTAAGGTCAGGGGAGTACTGGGAAAGTATGTGTCTAGATTTGCCTAGATGACAGCAGACACATCTGTGCAAAACACTGGCTGAAGATGCTATCGCTAAACACCACTGGGACTGGTTCTCTGTTAGAATGAACCATCAATTGTATTCCACGGGGCAAGTTTCAGCAGCTGGGGAGCAGAGGGGGTGAGTTCTGGCACTGTCTTGGTTATTTTCTTTGTTACTGACACCCATAATATTTGATACCCACAATTTAAAAGAGAAAAGGTTAATGTTGTCTCACATTTCAGTCCTTGGTCAGCTGGCTCCAAGGTAGGATGGCACGGTAGGGGAACATGGTGGAGAAGAGCTGCTCATGGCATGGCGTGGAAGACAGGTAGCAGAGTGAAGGGAAGACCCAGAAAGGGGGATGTACCTTTCCAGAGCATGCCTCCAGTGACCCCCTCTTTCTAGTAGACAACCGTCTCCTAAAAGCAAATCAGCTATTTCGCCCCATAATCCAATCACCTTTCAAAAGCCCAGCCTATGAGTACTTGAGACTTTGGGGAAACAACTACATAGAAACCATAACATGGACTGAAATAGAGCCCTGGCTGAAAACTCCAGCCTGGACTTATAGAATGACCTCAGCAAAGCCCAAAACCCTGGATTTCAGTCTCAAGTGAAAAAATTGGTGTTAAATGTATAGACCTCTGGAAAATTTGGTGGATTACATGAGGTAACATTTAAGAATCATTTGACATATATCAGGCATTCATCAATCCCTTTTCTCTTTAATTGAATGTTGCTCACCCTTTGATCCATTTAGAGAGGTGTATGTATCATTCCTGGCTATTTCCTCTTTATCCACAAAATAAAATATTCTACCCCAAAGGCCTTTTTGACTTAGATTGAGGACAGAGTAGACTCTCACAGGCCAGAATCTTCCCTCTTCCTTTATCCTACTTTGGCTTCTTTACCAGAATCATTGCCATCACCATCAACTCCATTCTGTCTCTATGACATCTGTCACAAAGCTGACAAAAGCACTTCATTACAAAACACTTATAGAGTTCATTTTTGAGCAACATTTTTAGATTTCAAGGATTAAGTATAAAGAGAATATTTTCTTTTAAGAGACTTGCAGCCTGTGTAAGGAGTCAAAAGTGTATTTCTCATTTCTGTTCTACCCATAAATACACTTGGTGAGCCAGCCCTCAGCACATCATAATGAACACTCATTCCAGGCCAGACCAGAATATTCCAGAACTTTCTGCCTCCCATTGAGTATTGCCATTGAGGTTAAGTTGGAAAAAATGCATGTATTCTGTTAAATCTTATGCAGTTTTAGAGATTGGGGGAAATACAAATAAAGCAAGATTTCTCCAAGGAAACGTTGCCATGATATTGTGTGTGTCATAGCTCATGCCTTCCTGTTCCAACTGCTGCACAATTCTTCCAGTCTTGGTCCTTTCTCCTTCCCAGAATGGTCAGTCCATGTCAAGGTGCCCCTCTTCAGATGCATCCCTTTACCTCACTGGTGGTTACAAAGCACAGGTACCTTAGATTTACTCTTGTCTGAGAAAAAGGAACCACAGGATTAGAGCCTGGAAATAAGTCCTGAGATAAAAGAGTTTCAGAATCATCGAGATAGAGATACAGACTATGAAGCCTAAAAGAAAAGACTCTAAAAAAAAAAAAAGAAAAAAGAAAAGACTCTAGACCCTAGGACTATTTATGCTGCCTTCACCCATACTTTGTATTGATTTCTACTGCATTTTTAACTTCTAGAAAGGCCAGTGCCATCCATACAATATTAGGTGTAAAGTGACTAAGCATTAATGTTCCACACATCAGTTGCCAGATGAAGCGTTAACTTGGTTACAGATACGTATCACTGCACAAATCTTCCTACATAAGGGATTTGCCCAACCCCTCACTAAATAAAAAAGTCTACTCTAGCACTGCAGGTATTTACCATGTACTCCCATGGCCACGATAGAACTCTGATTCCATTGAGAAACTGCAGCTGCAAGTGAGATGTCACCATGCTCTCTTACTGGAGAAGGACTGTGAATGGCAGAACTCTTTTCTGGGCAATAAGCAAAGACTACTACCTCCTGAAGACAACCAAGTCCCAGAGATGGAGGAAAGGGCATGGGGGAGCCAGAGGGGAAGATGGACCACTTACAATGCTCACAACAGGAGCAAGACATTGTACCAATTAATACTTTTTTTTTTTTTACCAGTTATTTGATCAGTGGAGAACAAGGGACTATTGTCAGAATCTTTTAGAATTTATTCTTTATTTTTATTTCTTATACTAAACCTTTCCCTCCCACTACAAGCCTGTTCTGTCTGGAATAAGCTTTTCTCCTCTCTTTACTTACTTAATTTCTAATCATACATTCACATTTTAAACACTGCTTCTTTAGGAAGCCTTTTCTTCAATGTTCCCCTCTCAGAGTAACCTTGGCTGATAATCCATCAGGGAAATAACCTCAGTCCTACAACTGCAAGGAACAGAACTTGACCAATAACCTGAATGAGTGAGGAAGCAGATTCTTCCCCAGAACTTTCACAACACTTGGCTGATGTCATAATCTTGCTCTTGTAGAACACAGAGAACATAAACCATCCACTGTGCGGAGACTTCCGACTTACAGAACTGTGAGGTGATAAATTGATGTAATTCTAAGCTTCTAAGTGTGGGGTAATTTGTTATGCAGCAATAGGAAATTGATGCAGACTCCACAGTTCATACTTTTATTTAAGATTCTTTAGTTTAATTCTGTTTTCACAGAGTATTGAACTCTGCAGTTTCATGTTATCTAATCTTCCTGATGATAAAGCTCTTGCTTTTTTTTTTTTCCACAAAGCCATGTCTGAGAAGTGTGTGTGTGTGAGTTCTTTCAAATTGTTTGTAGATTTTACATATGTGGAACTTAAATATATAAATAAGAATAATACATTGTTTTCTATGAACTTTTATCATTTTTTTTTTTTTTTTTTTTGGTACCAGGGATTGAACTCAGGTCCTTGCTCTTGCTGGGCAGGTGAAGGAACCACTGAGCTAAATCCTCGGCCCTATGAACTTTTATCTTTTCATAACATGCTTTTAGAGATTCAGTTGTAAAATATTAAGAAAACCAGAAAAAAGAAATTAATGGTGTTTTGATGCAAGGACAGTTCAGATATATTGGTAGGACTGCCTGAATCAATGCTTGAAGTATTGTAGAGAGGTATTGTTTCTAACTTTAAATTGGATCAAATGCTTGCTTTGTTTGAAATGAACACACAGTGTATTTGTCACTTTGAGTGAAAGGCCAAAGTTGTTTTCTTTATCACTGAAAGCACCCATTTGCAGTACATATAAAACAAATTAAAAGAGAGAGAGAGAGAGAGACCTTGTTGAAGTAGTAAAATATTACTCTGATTAAATACTCATTCTTGAATATTTGTCTTTTTGCTCTCCAATATGACAAAATAGAAAACGCACACAGAGCATTGTAAAGTATGATTTTTTTTGGAAGGAAAAGCACCTGTGAGACTGCTTTATTTGCAAGCTAAACTAGCCACTACTTCCATAGACTACCAGTGTTCTTAAAGATATGAGTTAATAGCTGTTCAGATTTGGGTAATAGGGAAATATTTTTTTTGTAAATTAATTATGTCAGAATATCAGCTCAGGAAAACAATTATCACTCTGTGTTGCTAAAGAGAATTGTAAAGCTCTCAGGAGAAAAATTAGATGTTTGAAAAATGCAATATGCCACCATTAATGTGGCAGTTCAATATTTAACATTTTTTAGGTTAGGTGGACAGTGATGCTAGTAAATGTCATTTTTGATATTGCTTAATGAAATTTATCAACATTGGAAGATCTGCCCAAATATCCATTCAAAATGAAATCTAAACCTATGATTATGAGATTTCATTGATAAGATTTCCAGGTATGTGTTACACCATCACATATCTACTTTTGACAGTGTATCAATGTGAAGAATGTTCACAACTATCTAAAAAGACCATTAAAATATTCTTCCTCTTTTCAAATATATATTGTATAGTGCTGGATTTTCTTTACATACTTTAACCAAAGCAATATATTGAAACAGATTGAAAGCAGAAGATATGAGAATTTAACTCATTTTTATTGACAGACATTAACGTGATTTACAAAGACATTTAAAATGGCACTCTTTTCATTGTTTTTCATTTTGGAAAAGATGAAGAATACTTATAAAAGTATATTATTCACAGTAAGATGAATTATTTTATTCTAAAGTTGATTAATAACTATTTAAAGAATCTTAGTTTTTATTCTTAAAATCATGACTATTGATAAATATAATCTATCAACAAAAGTTATTTGTAATATTCAACACATTTAAAGACTTTCACAGGAACCAGAGAGCACCAAGTTGAGGAATCATTTCTATAGAGCTAACTGCTGTAAGTGCTTTAATTTACTTGTTATGCCAGTCCTAAGAGGTGTTATAATCACCCCATTCTACAGTTGAGGAAATTAAGGCCCAGAAAGGTTAAGTGATTTGGCCAAAGTCACGTGGTGAGTTACTATTTAAACCATGGCAATCCATTGTAGTATGAATCTAGGTGGGTCGCTTTTATTTATTATATACTGTGATTCTCTAAAACTTTAAATCTTGTTGTGAGGTTTAGCGATCATTTGGGTGACGCAATTTTCTGTAGCAGATCCATTTGAGATCAGATTTGTGGTTATAACTGCTGGGGTAGAGATGATAAAACTTATTTATTCTGGTTCACTTTGACTTTAAGCGTTTGGGCTTTATGTATTGAGCATTGCATTCCTCACCCTGGGCTGGCCTTGGGCTTTGACTTCTGGCCTCCAACCCCTATGAAATCATCAACAGCAGAGCTCTGGTTCTCAAAGACTGGCAAATATCTTCAGGGCAAAGGTGCTTTTGGTGCTATTTGTGACTCTTGGGTTTCTGGTTTCATTAATTATCTTACTAGCGCTTCAGTGCTTTGTAGAAATATCTTGAAATATGCTTTTAGACAATTTTAAATGTTTTCAGTTACTTATCTATCCATATTCCATATTAATGCAAGATTCTTTTCTGTATTAATATTGAATGTGTGAAAATGTAATAAATCTTAGTAGACGTGCTTGAGTCAAGGGCAATTTGATGATACTCAGTATTTTTCTAGGATTTAAAACCAGCATCTTGTTGGGTGTGCATCCCTCTAATTTCAGCTATGTGGGAGGCTGACGCAGGATAACAAGTTCGAGGCCAGTCTTGGCAACTTAGAGAAATTTCTCACCAAAGTTAAAAAAATTGCAAAAGGGCTGCAGATGTAGTTCAGTGGCACAGCACTCTTGGGTTTGATCCTCAGTACCAAGCAAACAATCTCAAACAAACCAGCACCTCACTGGTAAGGATCTTTAGGGGATTAATTCATTCCTTATTATGAACTTTAAGCATCATGTCTTTACCATATCCTTCAAGGTTTTCCAAAGCTTCCCTGGACTGTAAATTATAGTTCATTGCCCATCTGTTTATCTCTGTAATTGCAGGAATTAGCACTTTGCATTTACCCACAAAGAAACTCACCTGCAATATTGTCTCCCCTCTTTAGACCAAGTTAAATCTCCTAAAGGCCCCATTAATTTGTTGCTTTGTTTACACCAAAGAGTTGAACATCATGCTCAGATTTCAAGCTTCCCCCCTCCCTGACTTCTTAAAGACAGATATTTATTACATGTCTCTAGTAAGAGTACTACTTTTCCATGGTTTAAAATCCCTCATCAATGTAAGTGTCCATTTTATCTCTGTGCAAGATAGTTCTTTGTTCTTCATTAATCAGTCTTTTTTTCCCAGTCACCACAGACTGTAGAAATAGTCAAATTGGGACTTATTTTTCATGAGTAATTCTTGAATGAACCCTTTTAAAAGTTTGGGACGTTCAGATTATATTTATTGAGTTCCCTTTCACCTACACATTTATTGTCTCTTACAGAAGACCCTGATATGTTCTTTAGGAGACTATGTTCATTCTTTTTCCTCCATAAGTATTATTTTTGTAAGTATTTAGTGATTCTATCACTATTATAGATTCTAATTAAAATGGAAAATAGCTGAACACTTGTAGTACAGAGTGAGCTCTGAATATACATCAAGAAAATATTTTAGACTAAGGCATATTCCCTACAATCCAATGTGTAGCAACAATTATCTCACGTTCATTAGGTACCAGTGCTTTTTATTGCTATTATCTTTGGTCTATGCTTAATATTATCAAGAAGTAAAAAAAAAATGATACCTGTGCAGCTACCATTGTTTGCCTTTTTGCAAGGAAGTTAGTTTAATCAGTTCTTGGTTTTTCCCTGTTTCTGCAACAGTCTAGCAGAAACAGACAGAGGTCAGGAATCATAGTCATCCAGTGACCATTTGAACCGGACTTGCACCAAATTATTCTCTTCAGTGACATGGTGCTGCTGACCTCTCCAGACTCAGGTTAAACAGCCTTCAGAAGCTTGTCCTTTTCTGGACAGAGTCAGATCTCAGATCTCCACGGGGTCCTCAAACAATTTGGAGTGAACAGTGTATACAGTGTGTCATCCCCCCCCCCCGCATCAGCATGTGTATAATTCACATAATTAAATGTCTTATTTTAAAAGTTTTGCACTACAGATTTCCAAAATACTCATCTGGGTCTGGGACTTAGGAAAATCAGCATCAATATCTGTGACTGAAGAAGTCACCTATTTATAAACCCAACTCTTTTGGGTCTCCAGCGTGCTGACTTGCCCACTACATCTTAAGACTTGTAAGTATCCATAATAGCATGAGCCAATAAGCAAGTTTTTAATTCTTTCCCCCCACCTGTCTCTCTCTCTCTCTCTCTCTCTCTCTCTCCCTCTCTCTGTATCTTCTATTGGTTGTGGTTCTCCACAGAATCCTCCTCTTGCATCCCATAAATACAGATTTTGGTACCAATATGAGAAATGCTGCTGGCCAAAATACTTAAAAATATGGAAGTGACTTTGGAGCTGGGAGATGAGTAGAGGGTGGAAGACACTTCAGATGCATGTCAGAAAAAGTAAAGATTACCATGAGCAACTGTGCCAACATGTAGATATTGAACATAATTTTGGTGAAAGCCATTTTTTTAGAAAAAAAAAAAAAAAGAACTAGTGTGACTATTGATGATATGCCAACTTTAATGGATTAAAAAATACCTAAAGATTAGTAAAGCACAGTTCTGGTTGTGTCTGAGTATGACTGACATGTATAGACCAGCAAACTGAATGGGGAAGACTCACATCAGATGTGAATGGAACTGACTGATAGGCTTGTAACCTGGACAGAATAAAAAGGAAAAGAAAAAGGAAGTGCCTCCATTTTGGAAGAGCTTTAGTACTCGCCATTTCCTCTGAACATGGGTCACCAGTTTCTTTAAACTTCCAACTGAGACTGGCACTGATGACTCTACAGTATTCTTCCAGGCCTTCAAACTTGGACTGGTACTGCCGCCTCCTTGATCCTTATTGTTTTGCAACTTCCATCTTCTGTGGTTGAACAACTTCTGGATCTTCTGTCTGTCCACACACACAGCCATTATAGATTCTCCTGCCTCTGATCCTGTAAGCCTATTTAACAAATTTCCTTGCATAATTTTTATATATATATATATATATTTTTTTTTTTTCTATTCTTTCTCTTTCTGTGGAGAACCCTAACTAATACAGATATTAGTACCAAAAGTGGGACAGGGGCCCATGGAGGTCTGGTGATCAATAGAGTTTTAGCCAAGGTATGAATTACAGCCAGTCCATTAAGTCCCCAGGTCCATCCTGTGGTCATTTCCCCCATTCCAGAATGCATAATTGGGTGGGATAAGTATATTTACTACTTGGCAGAATTTTCATATTGTTCCCATAACTTAGGATTTGAGGGCTATCATGGTGGGAAAGCCCAAAAGAAAGCCATCAGAATAGCTTCTACAATATCACATTCCTGGAAGGATTGCAAAGATTAGTGCCACTATCAAGAACTCCAAAGATGTAGGGTTGGTTCCCACCACATCCCCATTTAACTCTCTTACTTGGCCTCTGCCGAAAACAGATGGATTTAGAGAATGATGATGGCCACTGTGAACTTAATCAAGTGGTGACTCCAATTGTGGCTGGTGTTCTGGAAGTGATTTCACAGCTTGAAGAGATTAGCATATCTCTGGTACCTGGTATACAGCTATTGATTTGGCAAATGCCTTTTTTTATACTTATCCATAAAGCCCATCAGAAGCTATTTGCTTTTATCTGGCAGGGTTAGCAATAAACCTTTACTGTCTTACCTCAGGGGTATATCAACTCTGGTCCAGTGTCACAACTTGGCATTCAGGGATCTTGATCATATTTTCTTTCACAAAATATCACACTGGTCCATTACATTAATGACATTATGCTCATTGGATCATGTGAGCAAGAGGTAATATCCTCTCTGGACTTGTTGATAAAGCATTTGTGAGTCAGAGGATGGGAAATAAACTAAAACTCAAGGGCCTTGTATAGTGACATTTCTAGTAATCTCATTGCTTGCAGTGCCTGTAGATATATCCCTTCTAGGGTGAAGGATATGTTGTTGCATCTGGCCCCTCCTACAAACAAGACAGAAGCACTATGTCTAGTAAGCCTATTTGGATTTTAGAGGCAACACATTCCTCACTTGGGTGTGCTACTCTGGCCCATTCACTGAATGACTCAGAAAGCAGTGGGGCCCAGAACAAGAGAAGGTTCTGCAACAGGTCCCTACTGCAGTGCAGTCTGCTGTGTCATTTGGGCCACATGATCCAGTCACATGATCCACATCACTGGCAGACAGAGATGCCATATAGAGCCTCTGACAGGCCTCATAGGTAAACCACAAAGGAGGACTTAGGCTTTCGATCAAGGCTCCACCATCATCTGCAGACAACTATTCATAGTTTATATGTTGGTTTTCAACACAAATAGCAAATAATAGTGTTCTGTAGAAAATAAAGGAGAAATATTATGTTCCACAATAATGAACACTTAGAAATGTTTTATTCCATGTTTTTTTTATAATAAGCAAATGACAAAGACTTTATATAAAGGAGAAAAATAAAGAAAATAATTCCAATATATAAAAACTGTGGAATCAATGAGGCTGATTAATTGAGCAGATCCACTTTCTACATCCAGGAAGGCTTTGTTCAAATTCATTCAGACCCAAACCAAAGCAAATAAAATATGGATTTTAACACTCAAGGTTCAATACTATGCATTTAAAAGAAGTTTTAACATTTGTATGTTGTGATGGCTCTGTGGTGTGTCAATTTCATGAGGCTGAACTATGTTTTCAGGAACTCCCTTGCTTCTGGGTTTCCAACCAGTGATCTGGGGGATGCTCTGGGGTGACTGAGGGATGGCAGGGAGTCAGGAGCCATGTTGTATGTGTCTCCGACTGTTGTTGATGTGTGGACTCACATTGTTGGCTTGATGTAGCACCTAGATATGCTGTGCTTTCCTTCTGGGTCCTTCTTTCCTTTCTCAGACTCCCCAGCCAGGTGCATGTCTTTACCTTCATGAGGAAGGGGCCTGGCTTCTTCAGGAGGCCTATGCAACTAATTCCAGAGGCAGTAAGAATGGATAGCACTGTAGTCTGTCCTCATGTGCTCCATGTACTTTTGCTCTCACTCACTTTGACACTATCTAAGACCATTCAGGTTCGTATAACAAACTACTATATAGCAAGCGGCTTGTAAACAGCAGAGACTCATTGCTTGGAGTTTTGGAAGAAGGGGAGGCCAAGATGAAGGTGCTGTCATGTTTGGTTTCTGGTGAGGTCCTACTTCCTGGCCGTACACAACGCCTTCCTGGTGTATCTTTATGTGGCAAAAGAGGGGAGGGAGCTCTCTGGGGGTCCCTTTTAGAAGCCACTGATCTCACTCACAAGGACTCCATCTTTATGATCTAATCACCTTCTAAAGTCCCCACCTCCTCATGTCATCACCTAGGAGGTTAAGATTTCAGTACATGAATTTTGCTGGGATACAAATATCCAGTCTAGTAATAACCATCTTCCCTTCCTGAGTGTCTAACCTCTGGATTTCAGCCATTGTCAGTTGAAGACAATAGCCTTGCAGAAACTGCTTACCCACCTTCTACAATTGTGAAACCCTCAAAACACATTCACAGGAATGTCTCCTGTTTTTCTGCATCTCTCATTGAGTCTTAGCTGTTGAACATTATAAAACTCTTTTAAGAAGGTTAGACAGTCTGTGACCATTAATGACACGAGTCAGTGCCTCTACTAAGACTAGAAATGTGCAGATCCTTCTATAGCCAAATCAGTTCCTTAAACTTCACTGGAGCCAAGCCAAAAGAGATGAACGGATACAGAGAACTGTTTAACTCTACTCAAGGTCATTGGGTATTAACTTTTAAATATTAATAGAGAATTACACCCATCTCATACATAAGGAAAGCAGAAGTTCAAAGGCTTAAATAAACTTGAGCCCCTGGCTGTTAGGAGGGAGTTCAAGGCTGAGATTTTATAATATCCATATGGTTCCAGTTAGAGTTGGATGGATGAAGGAGAGCTATGATGGTTATCAGACTGACTTCCTGGACGTCGGAGAGAAGGAAGTCACATTTATGGTGTGTGCTAGATACTTGCTGATTTCATTTTCTACTGTAGGCAGCAGTGTAACAGTATAACAGTAATTCCCGGGTTGTATAGCAGAAAAATAGAACAATAAGTCACATACAAGTCAATATGTTTCTACACACACATACACATGCACCCGTAACAGCTAAAACTTCCATTACGCTATGGTTGTAGTAACTCTATTAATCATCAACATAACCTTTGGCTGGGTAACATTACTATTGTTGTTTATTAGAGGAGAAAGCAAGACACAGTAGGATTACATGTCCGCACTGGGTCTTGCTAAGGTTGCATGCATACTGAGCCTGGGAACCAATGCTATCCAGCTGCAGGCCATCTGAGCTATGAATGCTGCTACACTGTCTCTGTTACAACTGCAGTCTGTGTGGACCCATAGCTCTTCACTCTTGGTCTTCTCAGTTCTTCATAATCTGGGTATATTTCTTCTTCAACCCCATCTTTCTCCTCTTTCTTATGAGTTCCTTATGTTCCACAAAACATTATTCTTCCCATAGATCAATATTTCTTCCTTTTATCACATCAAAGAGACACCTAAGGTAATTCAGATAATCAGACCGTGATATCTCCCTGCATTTCTAACCCCTCCCACCCAGTCCTTTCTTTTCTTTGCACTGTTCTGCATGCTGTCTTACTTCTTGGAGTGCCGCATTCTATTCCACCAGCACCCCACTTCATTCTGCTGCAGTTTCTAGAAACTGTACTTGGTTTTTTTTCTTTTTTGTGGTACTGGGGTTTGAACTTTTGATCCTCCTGCCCAGGCTTCCAGGGTTCGAGGACTCCAGGTGTGTACCACCATGCGTGACTCTACTTGTTGTTTATAGTCTTGTTCACACAGCACCCTTTGCACAGCTCTACATCTCTGAATTCCTGACCAGAAGTATTTTTCTCTTCCTCCAAGTGTTCATATCCCTGTATGAGCCATCGCACAGTGATGTGTGTATTTGTTTTCATTTTCATAGGCCTGCATTCAAGATTTTAGCAACAACTGAGTACCTATCTCAGGACACTAGTATTGCACCATCTCAGTCTGAAATTCACTGCCTCAGATCAATCACCGGGAAGGACAAATTCCAGGGCCATGGGAGCCCTGTGTGTGAAACCTCCGCTCACTGAGCTCCCACGGAGAGATATGATCATTGCACTAAGCCTTTCTTCTTGCCTTCTCTTTCAGATGACTTTCGATGTCCCCAGATGACAACATTTACTGTTACTCACCAAGCATTTGATTGATACCTGTTTTAAACTGTCCATCACACTCTGATGGTCCCTGATGACTATCCAGCTTCCAATAAAAAGTGATTTCCTCAAAACTAGGAGCATATTTTATTCATCTTTACATGCTTCATCAAATCCTGGAACAGTGCACTGCATAAAAGAGATACTCCTTTAAAAAAAAAACCTTTTGAAAGGGACTGTCTTTTGGAGTCATACGCATTGAATTTGCCAATTCCAAGTGTACTCATTCATGTCCCGATTAAGATATAGAACATTCCCATCACTCACTGGCTTTCTAAGGTACAAAAGGATGACGAGAAAGAAGCTTGGTGTTGAGGAGGGATTTATCACTGATTATTTTTTCTGGTGCTGGTTATCAAACCCAGGGCTTTGCATGTTTGGCAAGTGCTCTGCCACTGAGCAACATCCCCAGTCCAGTGACATTGTTTGGACTTGCCAACATGTGATTTTTTAAAAAAAATCAACTTTTGGGGGTGGGGTGGTTGGTTTTATTCTTGTCTTAGAATTTCTACAGTGTTTTCCCCTCCTCCTACAACCCGGCTGATCATTCCTGGCTGCCACGGACCACCAGTGCTGTCATTATCCCTGTTCATGGGCCACACCCTATCCCTGACTCCAGCCAGCCGTCTGCCTCCTTTCCACACTGATAATGCTTTTCAGTTTTCAAATGTTATAGGACTTAAATCCTGCAGAGA